CTCAGTAATGCCATAGTGATCGTTTGATATATGGACCTGCAGCGGAGTTTAGGCCCAGACACGGCTAGTGACGTCAGACTTAACGACCGGACTTGATATCGGATCTATACCAACATTTGCACTATGGCAGAGCGCTACTTTGTGGTAATATTCAGGACATATAACACCAGGATTTGTTGACTGCTTTTGTTGTAGCAGAGGAAGGTGGTGCATGTGGTGACATAAAATAAATGCGTGGGCTGTGACAAACACGTCAAGCTGTGCACTGATGGAGCTTCCACATGCTGTCTGTCATGAAGAAGAGACAGAAAAGACAAGAAAGACAAAAAGCACCTTCATGATCATAAAACATCTCAGCCATATTCAAATCGTTCAATCATGCCTTCACACTGAAATGAGCTCAGATAATGTGAGATATTCTCGACCTACGTGGATTAAAGGACAAAGCCCTTAACGAAATATCAAGAGTTGTGAATCGTGATCACTGAAAGAAAAATGTTTGGCATATTAATCATCTCACACTAGTTTTAACCTTTGCGTGGGGGGTAATAATGCAAGCAGATTGTTTACATCTGGTGCTCTTTGCAGAACGTTTAGCAGAAGTGAGCATTAAAGCGCCACGTGAGAAAGAAACAAGGCTGGTTTCTTTGTGGAAGCACGTCACGTGGGATTCAGTAAATAGGAATGCCTTTTCTGCCTCTTGTCCAGCAGCGTGAACAGAGATCATCAGACCTTCCTCCCCTACAACTGAGAACAAACACCCTCCAGAGGAAGCGCACTGTAGTTGTTTGTACTGACAAATGTGATGCGAAATCTCTACACAACACAGATTAATATCGTCACATTGATCATCCTGTTAATGCTATTGGCTGAGTCCTTAAACGCAAAGTGGTGACTAGTCTGATTAATCTCAGTATGCTAATTGGATGTTAGAGGGTTGAAAGCACTTCCTGTGTGTGTGTTTATATGTGAAAATGAAGGCATCCAGCCTGCAGGTACCAAACCTTTAATAATGTTTTTAATTTTTAAGGTTTTATGCATCAGCATGTAATAAAAATCTTAAAATTATGTAAATACAACTTCAGATGAATAACAATACCCTGATAAACCTCACATTTCAGCAGCATGTGGAACCGCCTTAACAGTTAATGGTTTTCTGTGTGACTTTATCAGTTACATCATTTTGGAGTTACTTTGGCCCAGTCTTCTTTACAATGTTCCTTCATTTCATGTGTTTATGCACAGCTCTCTCAACTCCCCACCACAGCATTTCAGTCAGGTTGACGTCTGGACTTTGACTTTGCCACTGTAACACCTGTTGCAGACATGCTGCTAAGCTTGGGATCATTGTCCAGTTGCATCACTCAAAGCTTTAAGGTGCCAATATATTTCTTCGCTCATCGTCGCTCACTCATCACACATATGGACCCATTTATTGCTGTTGTTAAGGCGCAGAAGCCGCTGCAGTATTCTCCTGAACGGCAGGTGTCACCACTCAATATTGCGCCATATGGGCTGAAACAGGAGGAGAAAAGTCAAAATCGGAAGCATTGTCTGATGGTCGATGGTTGATGACTGCAATGTGGCCAAATCAAGGCAGATCACATGATCCTCATTCTCCACCTCTTTTCTTCTTTTTCATACAGTCTCTTCATCTTTTTCACATCAGCTTTGATTCAAAACCTTTTCTTTTACTATTGTTTTAGTATCTCCAGTCGATCTTTCTCGTCCTTTCTTGCCGTAGTGACACAGACTTCACCACTCTCTCCACTTCACCTCCAGGTGTTTCCTTATATAGAAAAATGGGGAGGCTGTATGCAGATAATGTAAAGAATGCTCGAGTTGATGCTCTGTTGATTTAGCACGAGTCTGATTTACTAAAATACACACAGCTGTAAGAACAAAATCAGCTGGTGCACATGTGGCATAAATGTGACGGCAATTTTGCCCGCAAACTGTTTTCTGTGTTCAGGGTAACAACATTCGCACACATATTAGTAAATGAGGGACATTGTTCCAGAAGCGTTGTGGTTTGTTCAGATGTTCTCATGGCAGACCTTCCAAACAAGCCATACTTATTCAATCCTTTTCTAATTGTGCTGTCATGAACTTTAATATTTAACATGCCAACTGAAACCTGTAGAGTCTGAGATGTAGCTCTTAAGCTCCGAAGATTGCACGGTCTGACCTTGGGGTGAATTTTCTGGGACGTCCACGTTTGGGACATCTCTCAAATGTTCTCCATTTGTAAATAATCTTTCTCACTGTAGAACGATGGACATCTATAACCCTTCACAGACTGGGGTCTCAGACCAGCAAACTAAACCTCTGTTTTTATAGAGGCGTTCACACTTGCTGCTACATAAAACCTGAGAACTGAAAGAGGAAGTCCTTTCTTCTTCAGATGAGTGCGGCCGCTATTAATAAAGTGATTTCTAGTCTTAAGAACCACTCACGGCCCTTTACAGTAGATATTTTCATGTATGGTACATTAAACCAGCACTTTCTTCTGTGCACTTAAGCACTTAATGGACCTTACATTTACACCTATGACCAACTATCTTTGGACTGTTGGAGCTTGC